CGTGCCTTATTTGTGAGCTTAACAATCATGGGCAGCCTGAAACAATGTTTTAACGAATCGTAGTAAAGTTGCAGCTGCTGTATACTTTCAAGAGAAGTTGCCCTGGCTTCAGAGTATCAGGATACTGTGCCTTTGTGTTGGGATGTGTTTGTGTCCTTTCTATACCAAGGGAAAGCTGCGTGAGATTCTCCCTCAGCTGTCCTGCCAGGAGCCTTACGATTGCTTGATTGAGAAGGGTGCTGCTGGCAGCCTGATCAATCTTGTCAGTAGATAAGCAGCTCTGACAGCCACCAATACTGATACTCAATACTGAATACTCTTCAGTACCAATACTGAAGAGTGATTAACTGCAGTCTTGTTTGATTTTTACCTGAAACTGTGCATTCAGAGTTTAGTTGCTTTTTACAGAGAATAATCTTTAATTTACTTTATTAACTGTACTGAGGATATGTTTAGAGATTAAAGTGAGGTAATACTGATACAGGGAAGACTTTGCATTGTAAATAGACATGCAGAGAAAAATAATAAAAAGTACGAAGTCTCTGTAGAGTTATACCTTGTCGCTGTTCTTTTAGTTGTGTCAGAAATAAAAATGGCACTTGTGAAGGTGACAGTTGATTTCCTATGTGCCCTCAGTTTTTCTTTTCTGATTGTTGACTACTACTTGTGCTAGCTATTCTACAGAAAATTAGTTGTTGCTGGGTTTTGGCTCATTCACTTACTTGAATTAGTTTATGCATATGCACTCCCCCACGGAGCACAGAAAAATTGCTTTGAAAAAATGAGTACAATGTAAAATTTATGTAATTATGTGCAAATTAGTTCTAATCATTGATTAATCTTTGTTTGCCTCTCTAGTAGAGAGAAACAAACAGTTCAACAGAAATCTAAAACTGGCCTTCTTTGCAAAGGTAGTTTAAGATAAGATGGATTGGAGAATAAAGTAATATGTTATAACGCTTAACAATGGCTTCAGTTGCTGCAGGAGAACTAGAAACGCTGTAGATCTGGAGTTGCATAGGAATTTCCTTATTGGTTAACAAATAAATGAAACCTCTAGGAAAGATGTGTTTTGAAGAATGTTACTGCTGTAAGTTTTGCTGTGAAGTGGATGACTAAGTCAGAGATGACCTCTAGCTACCAGTAGCTAAGTGAGAACATGGTCTGGGCTTCTGAAGACTGTGATGCCTGCAGTACCAAAATCTGATTTTATCGCCAGTTATTTGCACAAACAGGCATAGAAGTCCTTTCCCTTCTCTTTCTCCACCTACTGGACTTTCCTGATTTAAAGGAAACATCTGTCTCCTTACCCTTGTTCTCTTGCATCCTACTTCTGGAGGTAAATGGCTTATTTGATATTTCTAAGGAGGTACTGCATGAATTTTCAGAACAAATTTTGGTACTTGTGTAAAAGAAGGTAGGAGTAAATTACTTACCATGCATTGCTGTCTGTATTTCTAAGGTGATTCTTTTTCTCAGTCTGGAAATATCTGAAATAGCAGCCTTAATACACTATTTTGAAATTGTCTTTCTCTGAAATACTTGATGTTACTGAAAACAGGAAATATAATATGGCTTCAACTGCATAGCTGCCTTGCTGTCATGGTGTTGTAGGATTTGCAGGGGACCTCTGAAGACTGTCTAGTTCAATTCCCTCACTAAAGCAGGTTCCCTATTTCTTACCAAAGTAATACTTAGATGTTTTTGCAGTATGGTTAGCAACTGTTTGCTCTTTTCTTAATGAACTGAGCAATAAGAGGAAAAATGAGAATAAATGTACTTTCTATAGATATGTGTGTCATCAGATCTCTTAGTTGTTATACATATTTGAGAAGAAAAAATTGTTAAGTCACTTGCTGACTACAGCTCCTGAATAATGCTTTTAAAAAACGATCATTCTCTGTTCACACCATTAAGTTTTGTTAAGTAGGTGCTCAGTGTGTAGAAATCATAAACGTGACTAATATATATGACTCAAGAAAAAAACATCTCTGGTTATGTTTAGAATATCTGATAATCTGCCTATGTGCACATGTCACAGAGCATACTGATTTCCTTCAATTGTTACCTTTCTCTGAAGCAAGTTTACTTTTTATCTGTTTTTCTTCCAGTGCCTTGCGTTCCATGATATCTCACCCCAAGCTCCAACGCATTTTCTAGTTATTCCCAAGAAGCCAATTGTCAGGTTATCTGAAGCAGAAGATTCTGATGAATCTGTAAGTACTGTAGAAGCTTTCTGTACACTAAACTACTTTTGAATACTTCATAATATATTTTTCTCTCCCCCTTTTCATCTTGACATTATGAAGAAATAAAGTAGTTTTCTGATACTGTAGTTGTTGGTTCTAGTTTAGAATGGGAATGGAACTCACCTTTTCCAGTAAAGGTAGTGATGGAATGCTAAACAAATCTCTGGGTATGTACTTGCAGTGCAGAATGCATTGTTTTGGAGTACAGTTTAATGTATGTCTGAACTCTAGTTTATGGTAAGTAGTACTTCTTATGGAGAATATGTAGAGTAGTACTTCTAATGTGGAGACCAGAGATTGGGTCTGGTAGATGAGAGTTGAAGAAAGGAAGATTCAGCTGTAAATTGCTGAACAGTGCATTTTTTAGCTAAAGCAGTTACAGGTTTGCAAGATGAAATTTCTTTTCCTCTTTAATTATTTATGCTGCCTGCAGAAGTAGCCAGGCTTTTAACTGTGATACAAGTATAGCTTCTCTGATACTTTGTAGTTTGTTACTGTCTAGCTTGAAAAAATTCCATAGCTTGCTCTTTCTTCCTGTATTATGCACAGTCAGTCTTTATAGCTTTGCTTGGAGAATGTCAATTGCAAACAATTTGAATGGCAATTTGAAGAGCTGTGGCTGGATTTCTTAGAATTAACTGACCTCTGAGTAGTTCTCTGCTCTCATTCTTCCCTTCTTGCCCTCTCTCTTCTTTTTGTCCTCCAGCTTCTTGGGCATTTAATGATTGTTGGCAAGAAGTGTGCTGCTAACCTGGGCCTGACCAATGGATTCCGGATGGTTTTGAATGAAGGGCCTGAGGGTGGGCAGTCTGTCTATCATGTACATCTCCATATTCTGGGAGGTCGTCAGTTGGGCTGGCCTCCTGGCTAAGATTTTTACACCACAAGAGATGCTGCATGCGTACAAATCATAGCAAACAGATTTGTTTCCTGTCAACTTAGCCACTGTTAATGTAAATTGTTCTTGGATATGTGTCTTTGAAGGGTAATAAACGCTCTGAACAACACTTGCACAATAAAGATACAGCATGTGAGAATGATCTGTCTCGTGTGTCTTTCTGATGGAATTGGTTCTACCTAAGTTAAAATATTGTGTCTGGGATGTGTGTGGTTCTACTATTAGCAGTGTTCTACAGATGGTGATTTGTCTTGTCATTTGAAACCTGAGGATGCAACTGTATAGGAGTTTTTCATGCCCTTTTGGAAAAAAACAAGCTTTTCGAAAGCTGCGGCTACAACTTACAGAGCTTTTTTTTTTTTTTTTTTTTTTTTAGTGTGAAATTACAAAGATGCCATGCAGGAACTGTTTCAAGCAAATTGTGTTGTTTTGGAAACGTACAACTCCAGTTCAAGCATTCCATCAGTATCTGCTTAATAAGGCCTTTCTGTCATCCTTTTCCTATGAAAAAGGATTAAGCAGTAGTCTAAAAGTACTATGAAACTATACCATAGATGATATTGTATTTATAGCTACATCATGATTTTGATAGAATTGAGGACTTGAAAATGTTAAACTATTTATGTAGGACCTCTTAAGATGCTCAAGTTGTTTCATAATGTAAGTGTGCATTTTAGAGATTTAATTGGGCACAATTTGTCCTTCAGTATGGCACTTTGTCAGTATTGTACAGTTCTTAATACTGTTACCAAATCTCTGCAAGATAGTTATTCCTGAATTAGGCTCACTGAAGTGTCTGCCAGTGTAAATATAAAGCAACTGTTCTTTGTGTTAAAATTGAGAAGGCCTAGTTAACCAGTTTTATTGCTGCTTACTGTTGGAATTCTTTAAGCAAATGCCATAAGAAGATTATATTTGTGATCACCACTTCTTCAGAGTACAGTTGTAACATCAAGGACATTAGAGAAAGAAAGTGGGTGTGTAGAGAATGGTAGACAGGCAAAAACTGTGAGATAAGTTAATTCAGCTGAAAAGTTGTTTTTTTTTTTTTTTTTTATTTTTTTCTTTTGGTAAAAGCATATGAAATTACTCAACTTGGAAGCATTCTCTGACAGTTCTGAGCAGCAGAACTCTTCACCTAAGAAGTTACTTCAACTGGAAGACTATCTAGTGCTTCTGATGGCAACTATATTTTAGACTGGAATAAGAAGTGTCTACAGTGTGGTAGCGTTACGTCTGTTCTCCTGCATGTCCTGTGTAGAAGTGTTGGGAAAGCCCAACCCCTAGAGGTACAGTGTCACACCTGAATCTCAAAACTGAGGTATGACCAGTAGACACTGTGAGGCCAAAGTAAATCTTAAAAATAGCTGAAAATGTTTCCTGTTTGCTCTTGAAAAGTGCTCAATGAGGTATGTGCGGATATGAGGGCTTAGATGATGCTTGGAGCATCAGGAGATTAACTGTAAGCAGCCATATGTAGGGATACATATGTGAAATGTGCACAGCTTTCACTCTTCTGATTTTCATTTTATGTGTTTGGTTTTTTTTTTTTTTTACCGTTACCATTTGTGAGTTAATACGTGGTTGATCAAATTGATTGCATCACAACTGAATCCAGTATCAGAGGAACATTATCAAAGCTTTTGTTGCTGTATTTGGTGTCTGACCTGCAGATAAACATGTTTTAGGAAGGTTTTGCAAAAGTAGGTACAAGATGAGCTGATGTTGTGATTTAACTTTGCAGGCAGAAAAGCAATATGCCACAGAGCTGTTCACCTACTTTCCTTCCTCTCACTGGGAAAAGAGAAGAGAATTGGGGGGGGGCGCCCCAGGAGTAGAACTCGTGGATTAAGAAAAAGACTTTGTACTGGAATGGATGAGAAAAATAATAGTAATGATAATAATAGGTCACTCTGAAAGTACTGCCTCTTATTTCTGTGGAAACTGTAAACATATAAAGAGCACAACATTCTATGGAGCAAATTCTCAGTTACAGAATGCTATTTTTTTATTTTCAACACAATCAAAATCATTGACTTTTTTTTTTTTTGCCTGCAAAAGCTTCCAGGCTGTGCTTGTAAAAGAAGCAAAACAAACAAAAAAACACCTTAGAGCACCTCGCAGAGGTGACCCATAATCACTACTGCTGAGCTGCTCAACCTGCCACCTCGTTGTGCTCGCATCCACTGTTTGGTTTCAGTAAATGTTCAGCAGTTATCTGAAATTGGATATGACCTTTATTCTGCAATTACACACCTTTCCTCATGTGCACCTTCTGTCAGTTTTGTCAGACTGTTTCTCTCCTGCAATTTGTCTCATGGCAATAAAATATAATTGAGTTCTGGTGGGAAGGTTCATCCCCTACTGCCATACCACTATCATCTGCCTGTGACGTTTTGGACATGCATAATAAAGTAGGAGGCATTACTTTCAGAGCAGCCATTATATGTATTTACAAAACAAGTGGTGCATAATAAAATTGTTCATCCCACCAACCAATGCTCAGCCAGTCCCTGAGTAACAGCTGACCCCTACAGCCTTGACCAGTTTAGGTCAGCAGTTCTACTTTTGTCTCCTCCCAGCTCATTGTACCGCCTTAGCCTCCCTTGCTGGCAGGACAGTATGAGAAGCTGAAAAACTGGAATGTCCTAACTCTCTGCAGCGCTGTTAATCAACAACTACAACATTCGTGTGTTACCAACATTGCATCATACCATTATGAAGAAAGTAACAGTCCCAGCCAAAACCAGGTCAGCTTGCTAACAAGTGAACTGTGCATAAGTTTTAGATGTGTGCGTTCATCAGTACCTTAAAAAATGAGAAATAATGTTCAAATAATTAGAAGATTAGAACTGAGCTTAAAACATGTCAGACAACAGTGAACCAACCAATGCTGAAAAGAATTTTTGAACGGAAAATTTGATATGACCTACAGCACAGGGATATGGCAAATTTCATCCCAGTAAGTATTTAAAACAAGCAAAAAAAAAAAAAAAAAAGGAGATGGGAAAGTAATATGTTTATACTGCTGAGGGTTCTGAGCCACTCGTTGGAAGATCTTCTGTTTCTTCTGTTTCCCCAAATTATAAAATGTGTTTTATCAACAGCATGTAAGCAACTGCGGGTCTCAGACTTTAATCTTCTTGGGCTGAAAATGGAAATGATCTACCTGAAGTAGACAGAAGCTGAAATACGATTTAAAGTTGTGCTGTTGCAGTGTTTGCAATCACTTAACTAAATGATTGAGCTAAGTGTCATGTACTGGTACATCTGCAAAAGCTCTCGAGACATCTGGCAGTTAGAGGTGGGGATGGGTTGGGAGTTTTTGGTTTTTTTTTATAAGCAGTAGGAATACTGAAGAGACTGGACAGGGCTTAGAAATTCAGAGCAATTAGGTTATTATCATACATTTTATAAGTCTGGTGGAATTTAGGTCACATTGTGCAAATAATACCATCGTTATATTGCTGTAAATGAGAGATATTAACAAGGTGTTAAGCAGGGATCCACAGAAAAAAAAGCTCAACATGGAAGGTTACTGGTACAAAAAACTGATGCATCAGATTTTTTTTCCTTCAAATTTCAAGGGCTTAAACATAGAGTAAAGGATATATTTTAGTTTGGATCAATACTGTTCTTACAAGTGAATCTAGCTCTGTTTTGGTTTTTATTTTTGGATCAGCCTTGGACTCTGTGGATTTGATTGATTTTGGATGAAATGGGACAGATTAAATATATTCCAGCCAAAAATAGGTATTAGGCTCTTGTAGCCAAAATAGAACTTGTCAAAAGAACAAAAAACATTGTGCAGAAATTTGTACTGTGTGGATGTTATATTCTTATATTGGCTTTACAAATTGCCTTAGTCACAGTCAAAGTGGCATCCATGGGAATGGTTACAAAGACGTGAAGAAGGCAGAACTTACACAAAAACTATCATTACAGTCTCTTCCAATCCAAGCCATTCTATGATTCTATGAAAAAGCCTGGTATGAAACAGAAGATCTTGGACTGAGTAGAATTCAGTTTTTATGTGCGTATCACATAGGGAGTAAGTTTGGTCTGAAAATATTTCATCAGAAAAGCTGAAGAATATAGAGAATAAACTTGGACCTATTCAAATGAAGCATTTCAACCTACAGAGCAACCCAGAATACTTGAGCACTCTAGAGTGAAATATTTGGTCAAGTTTATTATTTTTATCCAGCTTCAAATAATGGAGCAAGTGATCACACAGAATCACAGAATCACCCGGGTTGGAAGGGACCTCAAGGATCATGTAGTTCCAACCCCCCTGCCTAGCAGGGCCACCAAACACACACATTCAGATCAGGTTGCCCAGGACCCCGTCCAACCTGGCCTTGAACACGTCCAAGGACGGGGCATCCACAACCTCCCTGGGCAGCCCGTTCCAGGGCCTAACCACTCTCCTTGTAAAGAACTTCCCCCTAACATCCAACCTAAATCTTCCCTCTTTCAACTTGGATCCATTTCCCCTAGTCCTGCTGTTGTCAGCCCTTTTGAAGAGTTTACTCCCCTCCTGGGTGTAGGTTCCCTTCAGGTATTGATAGGCTGCAATGAGGTCACCCCGCAGCCTTCTCTTCTCCAGGCTGAACAAGCCCAACTCCCTCAGCCTGTCCTCATAGGGGAGGTGCTCCAGCCCCCTGATCATCTTAGTCGCCCTCCTCTGGACCCTTTCCAAAATCTCAATGTCTTTCTTGTACTGAGGGCTCCACACCTGGACACAGTACTCCAGATGGGGCCTCACAAGAGCCGAGTAGAGAGGGACAATCACCTCCCTGTCCCTGCTGACCACCCCTCTTCTGATGGAGCCCAGGATCCCATTTGCCTTTCGAGCTGCCAGAGCGCACTGCTGGCTCATGTTCAGTCTCTCGTCCATCAGGACCCCCAGGTCCTTCTCTGCCGAGCTGCTCTCAAAGACAAGTGATGAACAAGAGAATATGGCTATGGCCAAACCTCTGCAAAATACCTGTCTGTGTTTAGTTGTTTCGTTTTTTTTTTTTTTTTCATTTCCTGTGTGTTTCTTAAGGATTAAATTAGATAAAAAGGTAGCTTCCTTCTACAATGAGTGAAAAGGATGTGTCTGGAAGAACTGTTGAAGATTTTGTATGGTCTTTGCTAGCTTCAGGTGGAGCAGTGCTAGCTGCTGTGGAGCTACAAGGGTGTTTTTTTTACCCCAGTGACTGTGATTAGTTCTGGTTCTAGAACATAAAAGCACCGAGACTCAATTAGCCACTAGGTTCAAGAGAGAGACTTAAACCACATGTTACCTTTTTGTCTTTTATTAAAATGTCATTTGATGACTTTGCATACCTTGGTTCAATTTTGCATTCTTTCATGTATTGAGATACCCACTTTCTTGAGCCAGGTGACCATATGTACACGTGTGATTCTTGAAACTTCCATGGCAGATTCCATTCCAAATTTGTACAAGTCCTAATTTTGCCTGGTATCACCTTGCTTTCTCCATTGTTTATTTTTATTTTTATTATTTTTAATCAGAACTCATTTCCATGGACCAGATTTAACTCAGTGCTCATAAGGAAAACTCTTCTGTCTGATTAGAGTTGTATTTGTAGTAGATTGAAATACAGAGTTCTCTTCATCCTTTTTAGGTCTTCTCCAGTTACCAGGTAAAAACAGCCATGGTGATTTCCTTTATTTTTAACAGACAAGAGAGTACCTGTAATAAACATGGCAGAATATAATCTAGTTTTATTGTTATTTCCAGTTACAATTTTCTGTCCTTCAAAAAAAAAAAAAAAAAATCTCTAATACTCAAGTATTGTGCTCCAGCCAATTCATAGCTAAACTTGAAGAAACTGGAAAGAAGTTCAAAACTTGGGTTAATATTACTGGACAGAGCTGTTTGCCACCACTGGTGACCAGGTAAGTGCCCTGTAACAGTCATGAAGAAGTTGAAAAGGAGATAGTGTTTATTGTGCTGTAATGTTTTACAGCCTGACACCTATTCTTCTACAGGACTGCTAGGAGGAAAGAACTTCCATCTAAGCCTAAATCAGATTATTCCACGTGGAAGTTAAGGGAGGCTGAGTGGTTTAAAAGAGGTCCCTGCTTTAGTAATCAGGGTACTAACATTTGAGGACAGGAAAGTCAGGATATACTTGGGGATTCAGCTTCAAGGAAATGAACAGTTTTTCTAAATAACTGTCAATGGTTTTGGGCCTGGTTTGTCTTGGTTCTGTGACTAATAGGATGGAGGGATCCACAGACTTACATCTAGGGAAGGGGAAAACGGGTAGGGAAAAGGTAGAGAGATGGACCTAAAAATGAAATGGTGTCAACAAGCTAAGGGAGAAAACTAATGTACTAATTATGGTATTGGAATGTGAGATAACACAATATAATACTTATAATTGGAATTGAAGCTAATAAATCAAATAAAATGAGTGAGAGAGTTTTCAAAACCAAAGGTCTTACTCTAGTGCTGAAGGTAAGATGGCTGGGGAGCGCACACTACAGAGACCAACAGTGAAGGAAGGGCTAATCTCATGACTCCTGAGCAATTTTATCTTTCCCTCTGAATGGAAAATGGAAATAGGGCAGTGAGGACTTCTGGGAGATGTAGTTCTTTTCTTCTGTGAACCAGATATCTGCAAATACTGAGAATCCATGGAACTAGAGCATTAAATCTTTAACTCTCAGTATGCTACAACATGTGGTTCAACACCGATAACAGAAATCATAAAACCAGGACAGTAACTGAAAGTTCCTGAAAGAAAAAACATCTAGATGTTCCACAAGAAAGAGATTACCTCTTCTTAGCTCTTGGCAAAAGTGTCAAGAACATGCATGCAAAGGAAAAAACAAACAAACAAACAAACAAAATGTAAGTATTAGCCTGCTGGATGCTTTTGTGTTTTGAAAACACAGCAACACCTGTAAATTAATCAGATGTGAGCTTGACTAACTTGGTCTTCCTTGTTTTAAACACAACCTGCAAGGTAGAATGACTTGAGAATGTGAAGGGTAATAGTACAAGAAATGAGGCTGGAACTGTATTTTCTGATCCCTTTTTCAGGAACATTTAGGACTGTGTTGTAAGTCTTCTACAAAGGAAACTTCAGTCGTAGAGAAAGAATCACAGCTGAGAATAATTATACTCCAAAACAATGAGCTATTTTTATTTTGTTTTGACAGTACTTCTGTCAAAGTGTGTCAATTAAAAACTGTGTGTTGGTTGAAAGAAGGGAACTAGATGTGGAAAAGCCACACTTTGCTGGAGGATGGCTTATATTTTATAAAAAGCCGTTCTGAGCCTTGAAAGCGTAACCAATCTCTAAATGCTCTTTTGTGTATTCAAAGAGGTTTGATTAGTGTTTGAGATCACAGCAGCAAGCAATTCCTGAAGCAGGCAGCTGGATGGAGCCACAGTGTTTTTAGTCCCTTACAAGGCCATTTATCCTTGCAGGGCTGAGATATACTGTTTATCTAGACTTTATCATGTGTGATATGAGTGGAATAATAATTCAGTATGAAGGCGTCTGTGGGAAAAAGGACGGAAAGGATGAAGTGAAAAAGTAAAAGTATGGTTAATGTGTTGATACTGCAGTGAAAATGCATTGTCTATTCATGTCCTGTTAGGGCACAGAGAGGAGGAATATTCTCATGAAAGACTCCTGCTTTCTTCCATGGCAATGTTCACTTGCACGTTCCAAGCATTGTTCATTTCTGGTCCTTTTGTGTATATGCAAGTGAAGAAATCCAGAGATAAAGTTAAGTAGTTTCAGACAGTAGTTACTTCTCTCCGATTCAGCTCCATGACTTGAGATCTATCAGATAGCCCAGTGCAAGTCAGGAGAAGCTTAACAGCTTGTGTTGCATCAGTACTCATCCATACATCTAACTTTTTTTGTCCAATTGCACAATTGGGAGGTTCTAGTAAGCTGTGTTGACAAATCTAACATTATGGGGCTTTTGGAATGCATTGATTAGATTGTAAATGGCAGCACTTCCTATTGCTAGTTTTTCTTTTTTTTTTTTTTTAATTTACTACAACTGCTGCACATAGATTTAACTTGATGTAATTTTTAGCCAAAAATCATTACCTCATGAATTGCTTCTCGATTTCAATTCAGTGAGAACACTTAGTTTTCTGCTTCAGAAAATTAATCAGCTGACTGTAGCCTTTTCTTGTAGTTAAAGAAACTTCATTTGCTTCATAATATTGTGGCTTTTGTATCATTAAAAACTCATCAGTGCCCACAAAATTGCTTCCACTTTTATTCACAGTAGAGCAAACAACTTGCATTTTCTTTTCCAACTGTGACATAGGAATATTTAGATTTTGAATAAAAAGATTTGAAATATGTGGAGGACTTGCTATAGTTCACTTTTCATTCCAAGACACCTTTCTTGCATCCCAGTCTCCCTGGAGTCTGCTGTTATCATTAAGTCATTTTTACCTTTGTTATAATTAAGGCTCTCTACTGTTAATTCTGCACAAACAATAGAGTTTTGGCTTTGTTGCCAAATAAGATGCATCATGACTGTAATCCAGCAGTTATTTATATCCAGAGAATCTTAGATGAGATAAATGTAGAAAACACTGGGCAGCCTGTTCCAGTGCCCCATCACCTCACTGTAAAGAAGTTCTTGCACACATTTGTGAGGAACTCCCTATGCTGCAGCTTATGTCCGTTTCCCCTTGTCCTGTCTCCACTCACCACTGAAAACAGTCTGGCCTCACCACTATGGCCCCCACACCTCAGATATTTATAGACCTGGATCAGGTCCCCTCTCAGTCTTCTTTTCTCAAGGCTGAACAGACCCAGTTCACTCAGCCTTTCTTCATAACAGAGATGCTCCAGGCCCTTCACCATCTTTGTGGCCCTCCACTGGACTCTTTCCAAGAGATCCCTGTCTTTTTTGTACTGGGGAGCCCAGAGCTGGACGCAGTACTCCAGGTGAGGCCTTACCAGGGCAGAGTAGAGGGGGAGGATCACCTCCCTCGACCTGCTGGACAGGCTCTTTTTAATGCACCCCAGGATGCCATTGCCCCTCTTGGCCACGTGGGCACACTGCTGGCTCATGGCCAAGCTGTCGTCCACCAGGACACCCAGGTCCCTCTCTGCAGAGCTCCTCTCCAGCAGGGCATCCCATGCATGTAGCAGTGCATGCAATTACTCCTCCCCAGATGAAGAACTCTACACTTGCTTTTGTTAAACCTCATCTGGTTTCTTACTGCTCAGCTCTCCAGTCTGTCCAGGTCCTGCTGAATTGCAGCATAACCTTCAGGTGTATCAGCCAATCCTCCTAACTTCGTATCATCAGCAAATTTGCTGAGGGTGGAGAAGAGAATGAACACCATAAGGGTCAGGCTGTTTTGCAGACAAATCTAGAAACAAGAAAAGGATGTAATTATGTTCTTGTCTTTCAAACTCATATCCTTTGCCTCAGAATAAAAGCATATGAGATACAATATGTTTACTACTTGAAATGCAGGATACAGGGTGTGAGAGTTGACATTTTGATTTTCCTTCAGATAACTTTACGTAGCTAGAAGAAAAAAGAGAAAATTCTGAATGCATTAAATAAATATGCTGATTTTAGTGGTGTCTGCACGTAAGTTATGCTGTAAGCAAGCTTACCATATTCACCCTCTTCCAAAGTGTAGGTGAACATAAAGCTTTTTGGAGATGACCAGGAAACTAGTATGTAAAACAACTGGGTTCTGTGCACATTTAAATGGAACAAAGATTTTGTTCTTTCTTAGTATTTTGAACATGGATGAGATAATTATTTTTGCCATCGTTACCTCCAAATTTGATTGAGAAGCAGAGTGTGTTACAGTAATCATTTGCATAATTAGGAGAATAGAGTGATATTATCTATTGCAGAGAAATAAAAAAGATGTTTATGAAACATGGATACACTTTTATTTTGTTTTAGAATGTGTTTGAGATTAGTAGTGGCACTTCATCAGTATGCTAGGAAGATGATTTTCTTAGTTCATTACATGTGTTACTGACGGAAAACAGTACATAGAAAAAAACAATGGCCCTTTTTTTTTTTTCCCAGAAGAATGTACTTTGGCTTCTTAGGAGAAACGGAAGATGACATTCCACTGAAGGCAACAGTGGAGAGAAAAAGGGCCCAAGAGAGCTTTTTGATTGCCAGCACAGCTTCTTTCAAGCATAGATGAGAATGTTTTGAAGTTTATGAGCTGAAGGATAAGGCAGAAGATCCCTAAGGCTAAATAGGGACCTCAGACTTATCTCAGCTGTAGAATGATCTTGTACATAGGTGGAAGTAGGGATGGGCTACATGAGATAAGTAGACACGGCTAGAAAGGAGCAGAAGGACCAGCAGCTTCTGACCTGGGACTGAAAATTGTAGTGGATGAGAAGGAGAATAGGAAGGGCTGTCACAGCTTCATAAGCAGCAAGAAAGAATTAAGGAATGTGTGGACCAGCTAAAGAATAGCATGGTGGGCCTAGGAAGTAGAAATTGGCTGAGTTACCCAACAACTTCTTTTGGTCTTTTTTTTTTTTTCAAAAAAAAAAAAAAAATGATAAGGTTCTCTAGATCTGTAGGCCAGACTGGGCCATAGTCAAGAAAGACTGAAAGTGGAAATCCTTAAGCAATCTGGACACATGCAGAAGGTGGAAACTATTAATCAGAACGTGGAACACACTTCTGGCTATGAAATTTAAAGAATAGAACAGAATAAAATCAGAGCTGTTACAAAGAGACAGTTTGTTTTGAAAAATGCGTTATTGTTGCCATACAAGACATAAATGATGAGACATTTGTGGACAGCCTGCTTTTGTCTCCTTTCCATCCCTTGAGGAGCTACAACTGTCCTGGGAGTTCTGTCAGCCACTGTTAATTCCCTTGTGTGAACTTGGACAGTTGAGCATTTTTCAACCTTGTTACCTGGAAAACAGCTGTTTAGCTATTCAGATATTAGGCGTGATAATGTTGATAGGATCAGATATTTAGGGGTGGGAACTGAGAAACTAAGAACAAAAAAGCACAGAACAGACAAAGCCCCCAAACTAAAATGATGCAGCTTGTAGTCTACCTAAAATTTTCACAGAATCACAGAAACACCAAGGTTGGAAAACACCTACACGATCATCCAGTCCAACCATCCGCCTATCACCAACAGTTCTCACTAAACCATGTGCCTCAACACAAAATCCAAACGTTCCTTGAACACCTCCAGTGTTGGTGACTCCACCACCTCCCTGGGCAGCTTATTCTACTGCCTGAGCACTCTTTCAGAAAAGTAGTATTTCCTAACATCCAGCCTAAATCTCCCCTGGTGCAGCTTGAAGCCATTCCCTCTGGTCTTATCACCAGTTACAGTAGACAAGAGACAGACCTCCAGCTCACTACAACCTCCTTTCAGGTAGTTATAGAGAGCAACGAGATCTCCTGGAGCTTCCTTTTCTCCATCCTGAACATTCCCAGCTCCTTCAGCCTCTCCTCATAAGCCCTGCGCTCCAGACCCCTCACCAGCTTTGTTGCCCTCCTTTGAACACGTTCCAGGGCCTCAATATCTTTCTTGCAGTGAGGGGCCCAAAACTGGACACAGTACTCGAGGTGCGGCCTCACCAGTGCTGAATATAGGGGAACAATCACCTCTCTGCTCCTGCTTGCAACACTGTTTCTGATGCAAGCCAGGATGCCATTGGCCTTCTTGGCCACCTGGGCACACTGTCGGCTCATGTTCAGCCGAGCATCAATCAATACCCCCAGGTCCATTTCCTCTACGCAGTCCTCCAGCCACACCGCCCCAAGCCTGTAATGTCACCTGGGGTTGTTGTGGCCAAAGTGCAGGACCCGGCATTTGGCCTTGTTGAAACTCATCCCATTGGCTTCAGCCCAGCTCTCCAGCCTGTCCAGATCCCTCTGTAGGGCCTCGCTACCCCCAGGCAGATCCACACTTCCAGCCAATTTGGTGTCATCTGCGAATTTACTGAGGGTGCACTCGATGCCCTCATCGAGGTCATCAGTAAAGATATTGAAGAGGACAATAAGGATATTCAAGAAGACAGATTTTGAGCTGGTGCCTATCTCAGATGCTTGATTGGACTGAAACGCATGTGCACCTGTACAAACGTTACTTGGCTTAAAAAAAAACCAAAGCTGAACTAAATGTGTATGATTTCTTGTTTGCCTTTTATACAGAAATGCCTGGACTTCTGACTAGTAATCCCAGCTGACTGCTGTTTGTATAGTAAAAGGCCAGTTCTGCAATGCCTGCCAGATTGTTTGTGTTAGAGGGAGCCTCAGCAACACTTCTATAGCCAAGTCAGGTCAACACTTCTGTCTGAAAAGAGAAGCAGATCTTGTAAGTAAATATGTTTCTGTTTCACAATGCTGCCTGTTGTTTTCTCCTTTGTCAGCCTCTGATCTTTGATATAGCTGCATAGCTTTCAGTACCATGACTTCTCAAAATTGTGAATTTTAATTCTAAGAATGCTGGCTAAACAGCTCCATGTGATTAAAATAATAGGTCTTTCCATTGCTTACATCTCTAAAATGCATAATGGAAATGTCACCATCTATGCTTAATTATGACTTAAAAAAATATGAAGCAGATTAGATGGATGTTCTGCTAACAATAAAGATAACTGGAAGTGCCTAGAGCCAAACAAAAAGCTTGGTATCTGAAACTCCAAATCCCAAACATCAGATTGGACTTTATTCTTGTACCCAAAATGTTTGGAAAATCTAGCTCCTATTTTGTGTATGTTTTGGAAAAATGGAAAAAAGGTGCATGCATGATGTAAATTAACTTACTGAAACTGTGAGTTGTGCTGCAAAGTACAGAACATTCATTTGGTTCATTGCTATTAGAAAGTAATCAAACAGGATTAATTACTTCTTTTGTCTTCTGAAATTCTCATTTAGAAGGTGATATAGTTTATCTGTATTAAGGAATTGAAATATGACAATACAATGGGCACAGGTGTTAAAAACTTTTTTTACTGTCCAGACTTTTAGCAGCTTCCTGGCTAATATAGATGCTAGTTGTGAGCTGTTAAAGTTCTTCATCTTTTTGTGACTCAAACAAGGTAAGTTACTGCTTATGTATAATCAATGAATATTAAGATATTATAATTACAAAATAAACAAGAGAGTTAGGCAAAGCAGATTATAATAACAAAAAGAGAATAAGAGAATAGATAGAAAGCTTACCCCTATTCTGGCTCACTTACAAAACTCCAGCAGAGTAGATCTCTAGAAGCAATTCTTCCCCACTGGTAGCCAGCTTTTAAATGGATCTAGGAGAAGTGGAGCCAGACTCCACCCCTTCTGGCAGCACAGGTGAATTGCCTTCACCTGTGCTCCTGTGGCTGACACATTGCTCGCATCAGGTGATCAATCAGAAGTTCAGCAGTTCCCATACAGGTTGATTAACACTAAATTTTTCTAATTCCTTGCATTCTGCCTTTGAGCAATTTTTGAAGTTCCCATTTTGACAAACCCTGGGTTTGCTTTAAAACCAGAATAAGGTAATGAATCTTCCATAAGGAAATGCTTTATTTCTTGAGCTGCTAAGACTTGCTTAACGAAGTACAACTGTTGTGTTTCAAATGAAATATTGGTTAAGTGAGCAGGTAAAATAGATTAACGGATTGTAGTTAGAGATTAGATTATAATTAGAGATTAGAATTAGAGAGTGGCTGAACAGTCTCAAATTTAATAATCATGTAGTGTAATGAAGAGGAGCAAGGTGTATTTCGAGACCTTCCTGATATGGGAGAATAAATTAGTATGGCTTACTGACTTGGTTTCCTTCTCAACTGTTAGGGTTTGAAGTTTAGCATATTTTTAATCTACATTTTAGTAGTTTTTCAAATGCTCTGAACACACTTTTGCCTGTGAAAATTGCACTGTCTCCTGTGGGAACCACACTCAACTCTTCTGTGAGTACTTCTAATAATTCCTTATATCCTGTTTGACAACACCAGATCATATTAAAATGTAAAAATGGCATGGAAGTGAAAGACATTTTGGTACTTAGGGACCATTTTGATTCTAATATTCGCTATAATTGTGAACTGTACTTTACAGTTGGAATTGGGTATAGTAAAAGCTTACACACCCAAGTATGCATAGTGACATAGTCTAGTCTCTGTTATAAATCAGCATGCTGTCTTTTCAGTGACAAAATCATTCCTTAAAATGGGGCATTATTCTGAATGTACTTCCTAGAATAGAACACATGAGGGTAGCATGGAGTTTGTAGAATTCAGCTTCTCACAGTGACAGAGCCCTTGATTGTCCTGGCTTTTTACTTCATTGTGATAGAATGTGAATGCTAATATAGAAAGTAACAAAAATGACTGATTCAGCTTTTAAAATGGATCAGACTCTGAAACACAAAATTTCTTGTTAACAGTATAGCATTCATCTGTTCAACATGGTTGCTGTTGTTTGATAGCTCTTTTCAATGCTTTAGCTTTTAATTTGCCTGATACATCCTTCAGAGATGCTATTTAGTAGCTTAGTATTATTATTGTTAGATTTCTTGCTTGTCATTTGTTAGTTATTCTTGTGCTTATATGAAAGTTATCTTCTGGATCTTCCCCTCCAAGAATTACCCATGCAAGTGCTAAAAAAATTATTCTTAGTTTGAAGTATTTACACAAGCCACCCTAAAATATATCTTCAAATCTAATAAATTGTCACTGCAGAGAAACAAAGCATTGCTGTCATACATAGCACTCACAAAAGTCTCTAAATAGTAACCAGAAGCAGACTAACAATTACTTAAATGCAGTTTTCTTCTTAACTATAATTATATGTCAGCATATTCTTCCTTTCAGAAACATACTGTATTCCTAGAATCATAGAGTCACCAAGGCTGGAAAAGACCTCCAAGATCATCCTGTTCAACTGTCCACCTATCACTAGTGTTTCCCACTAAACCACGTCCCTCAGCACAACATCTAAATGTTTATTAAACACCTTTAGAGTTGATGACTCTACCCCCTCATTGGGTAGCCCATTCCAGCACCTGACCACACTTTTGGAGAAGTATTTCCTAACGTCCAACCTGAATCACTCCTGGTGTAACATGAGGCCATTCTCTCTTGTCTTATCTTTAGTTACATGGAGGAAAAGGATGATCTCTTCTCTCACCTCACCATAATCTTCCTTTAGGTAATTGTAGAGAGTGATAAGGTCTCCCCCGGACCTCCTCTTTTCCAAACTAAAAATCCCAGCTCCCTCATCAATCAATAACCCCAGGTCCATTTCATCTGTGCAGTCTTCCAGTCACTCCACCCCAAGCCTGTAGCATTGCCTGGGGTTGTTGTGGCCAAAGTGCAGGACCCAGCATTTGGTCTTGTTGGAACTCATCCCATTGGCTTCAGCCCAGCACTCCAGCCTGTCCAGACCCCCTCTGTAGGGCCTCACTATCTCCGGGCAGATTGACACTTCCAGCCAACTTGGTGTCATCTGCAAACTTACTGAGGGTGCACTCAATGCCTTCATCCAGGTCATCAGTAAAGATATTGAAGAGGACAGACCCCAGCACCAACCCCTCGGGAGCACTACTTGTGACCAGTCACCAGCTGGCTTTAGTTCCATTCACTACCACTCTCTGGGCCAGTTCCTTACCCAGCCAAGAGTGTACCTGTCCAAGCCGTGGGCTGCCAGCTTCTGCAGGAGAATACTGTGGGAGACAGTGTCAAAGGCTTTGCTGAAGTCTAGGTAGACCACATCAACAGCCTTTCCCTCGTCCGCCAGTCACTAGATCATAGAAGGAGATCAAGTTGGTCAAGCAGGACCTGCTCTTTTTGAACCCATGCTGGCTAGGCCTGATCCCCCGGTCACCCTGCACATGCTGCGTTATCTCCCTCAAGACAATCTGCTCCATAACCTTCCCTGGCACTGAGGTCAGGCTAACAAGCCTGTAGCTCCTCGGGTCCTCCTTACAACCCTTCCTGTAGATAGGAGTCACATTGGCAAGCCTCCAATCTTCTGGGACCTCACCAGTCAACAAGGAGTGCTGATAGATAATGGAAAGTGGCTCGGCTATCACCTCCGCCAGTTCCTTCAGCACTCTCGGGTGAATCTCATCTGGCTCCATGGACTTATGACAGTCCATTTAGAGTAGTAAGTCTCTGACTGCTACCTCCTGAATCGTGGGAGGTTTAGTCTGTTCCCCAGCCAAGACTACCAGGTCAGAGAGTGGAGTACCCTGAGGACAACTGGTCTGACCTTTAAAGACAGACATAAAGAACACATTCAGAACATCTGCCTTTTCCTTATCCTCAGTGGTCACATTCCCAGCCTCATCCAGTAAAGAAAGGAGATTCTCCTTAGTCCTCCTCTTACTGTTGATGTATTTGTAAAAGAGTTTCTTGCTCCTTTTTACCCCAGCAGCCAGGTTGAGTTCAAGCTGGGCTTTTGCCTTTCTTATTTTCTCTCCACTCATCAACTTCTCTGTATTATTTCTGAGTTGTCTGTCCCTTCTTCCACAGTAGGTAGCTTCTTTTTTTCTCCCGGAGCCTCAAGAATAACTCCCTATTCATCCATGCTGGTCTTCTTCCCTGCCGGTTCGTTTTGCAGTTCAGGGAGATAGGCAGTTCCTGCACCTTTAAGACTTCCTTCTTGAAGAGCAATCAGCCGTCTTGGACCCCTTTACTCTCTAAGACTGAATCCCAGAGGACTTCCCCCACTAGCCTTCTGAACAATTCAAATCCGCCCTCCGGAAGTCCAAGGTAGCAGCAGTTTTGCTGCTCCCCCTCCTTGCTCCACCAAGAATTGAGAACTCTACCATTTCATGGTCACCCTGTACAAGACAGCCCCGGACTTCCACATCTCCCACCAGACATTATCTGTTTGTGAAAATTTGGTCTAGTGGGGCAGCTCATCTCATAGGCTCTCTCACCAGTGCATCAGAAAGTTATCCTCCATACACTACAGAAACCTCCTAGACTGCTTTTTCTGCACTGTGTTGTATTCCCAGCATACGTGGGGGAAGTTGAAGTCCCCCATGAGGACAAGGACTGGTGATCGTGGAGCTTCTGCCAGCTGCTCATACAACACTCATCTGTCTCTTCATCCTGGTTCGGCAGTCTATAGTAGACGCTCACTAGGATGTCTACCCTGTCAACCCTTCCCATGATTATAGGGATTCAACCTTATCATCCCCAGCTACAAGCTCGATTCTATGTTCTATGATTCCAGTAATGTAAAGGTAAAATGTATATTCTAAAAATAACCTTTATGGGAGTCAATATATTAATTCAATTTGCTGCTTAAACTTAAGTACTCAGAAGATGAATGAGGTTCTTATCCTATTCTGAAAAAAAATGTTGAATGTGTAACCAT